TGCACAATGTCTTTTCTAGTGGCCCTGTGGATAGACCTAAGGGGGGAGGGAGTAGGGAAGGCAGCTAGCGCTGTTCCAGGATGAAAAGTTGAACTTGGATTTGATATCTCTTCTATAAAGCTGATTGTTGTTTAAAATGTTGTGGCACTGTAAACTGAAGGAGATATAATCAAAATAGTAAGAGTCTCTACACAGGCCATAACATCCATGTCAGATATTTGCTTAAATTGGCTTAGCTTAATCAGCTTTTGACCCACATGGATCTGATGAATACTGACAGTCTCCCCAATCATCCAGATTCTTTGATCGTCAGATTGTCTCTGTTGTTTGAGAGGCTTTTAAGTATGATCATCTCATGACAAAAGAACTGTATTTCCTTTCAACATCTTATATGACTGAGCCTTTTTACTGCTGCCTAGACTACAGCTTCATGGAAGAGATTGTTGCTTCATGAATGACAACTAAAACTGCCAGGGTCTCAAATTTTGGAACAGTTTCATGAAGAAATTATTTATTTTCAACTCAGTAGGATAATCAAAAATATTCTGTTTGGCCACAGGGAATTTAAACTAAATAAACAAATACATACAGCTATTTCAATTACCCTGAGCAATCACACCTCATCTCCTACCTGTTTCTTCTTGTTTATTGCATTTTTTTTCAGATACATTTGACATGTATATTTGACAAAAGTGTACTCGTCAGTTATAGATTATTGAGAATAATACTTAAATCCTATCAAACACAAAAATCCTGAATCAGTTACATGCAGAAACTTTGTAATTTATGTTGTCATTATTTATATCAATTTGTTCACTGCCTCTGTAAAATTGCTGAGGTACTAAAAACACCCTGATTGGACAAAAACCTGTTGGTTATTGCAACATTAAACCCATGGAAAATTTGAGTTTATTTTATAAAAGCAATAGACTGGAAAAATTTATAAATCACTCACTTCTGGCATTCTTCCAACATCCTGCATGGTTTCGCTGGTAAAGGGATAGAGAGTGTGGCCTACAATTATTTTTTTCATCTTTTATAGTTTAATTCCTACTTTAGTAGTAGCTGATAAGCAATTCTCTGATGTAAATGTTCAAGTTTTCTTTCCTGTTTTCATTGTTTGAAATATTTTCAGAAAAGAAAAATAATACTGTAATTTTGACTTTTGGTTTTTATATGTGCTCCTTCATGTTTCTGTATTCACAGTGGCCGAAAAAAGGTAAAAACTTACACCATTTATTAAAAGTTCAAAATTCCCTACACAAATATGTAGAAGCAGATATTGTGTAAAAAGGTAAATAATTTAAGCTTGAAAATATTTGCAGATTTGGTAATCCTTTAAGATCTTCCTGATATTTTGATAGACCCCTCTCCTAAATGACAGCAAAAATTTCAAAAATTCATGAAATGGAAATATTAAAATTCATCCAGTAAGACAATTCTGGGTCTACATAGTGCATATTGAAAAGTTTCTTGTCTATGGAACTCCTGTTCATTTTTTCATTTAAACCACTGAGTCTTGGTTCACTCTTTTAATCTTACACCTGTAAGTTGTAATTTTATTTCCTCCTACTTAACTTATGACAGGAAATCTCATCATAAAATTACATCTGGGAAATTACTGAGATACATAAAACATGACTTTTTGTGTTTCATCTTTTGATGATCAATGCAAAGGCACATGGAAGAAATTTCATTATGGTGGTTGCATTTTAGCCTGTTCAAAGTAAAAGTGTACTGTGTAACACTCATATGTAGCAGGATTCAGAGGAAAAACTGTTAGTTGATCTATGATCTGGTTCAATAGGGCAATTTTCATTTCCTGTCAATGTTTAAATTTCAGTTATTTTTCATAATTGTGACTTTGTGTGAATAAATATGTTTTTTAGCTGTGGCTAGTGTTCTCAAGGTATTTCTTAGTGGCCAGCCATAAAAAAAGTAGCCAGCTACAGTTAAAGGTTCAAATTTATTTAAGTTCAAGATAGGTTAATATTTAACTGTTTTTTCTGATTAAAAGTAATTGTGGCTTTTGAAAAAGTAGCCATTGAAAATGCCACTGCCGTGGCTACAGGAGAAGTCTGCCATGGTGAAAAAAAATATATTGTCTGAGAAATGTTACCCATTGACAACAGACACGGAAATAAATTGTTTTTTATCTGATCGTGCAATCTTGGCAGTGCACTGAGCATGATCAGAAGACTTTGTCCTGTTGTGCTGCGTTGAAAATCTGCCATGAGTTTCAATCATGTGCATTCAGCTAAAGGCTTAGTATGTCCATGTTGTGAAGACTACAGTGATCATTTTACGCAATGTCAAGTTCTGGTGTGCAAGAACGTGATTGCCCTTTTAAAACCTTCCTTTCTGACACTGATAAAGTCAGAGTGGATGGCTCCAAGACATATCATTCAAGGGTGAATCTTTTCAAACATAGCTATTGTTCACCTCATGTTAGTGTTTATCTTCTCAGGCTGCAAAGGGTAAGCCTTTTACTTGGTTTTATCAATGGTTATATCAATTATTTTATTTTTATCAAGAGTATAATTTACATGTAATTTAGATTAGATTCAAAGTACCTCTGTGTTGTACAAATTTACTTGAGCAATGAAGAAGACATTTTATTGCGTGAGTCTGTGCTGATTACTATAATTTAATTATTTTGATAACCATATCTGAGCAGACCTGTTTTGATTTAGATCATATTACAGGTCATAGTTGCCTCATATGATAGGATATCATGTGCTAAAAATTAAAATTAATTTGCTCAAATTAGAGACTATCTTCCTTTGTGTTGAAATTGTATTGTTGTTAAAACGATGATTGCCAAATATAAACATTAAAATAAATTTTATTAACAGATTGTGTTACCCTCATGAACTTTTGCTCTCATTCCCACGTTTCCAAAAATTGATACAGACGTGTAGAGGTTAAATACCATGTACTTAATTATCTCTTAGGTGGTAACTATGTGAAAAGTAATACTACAGTCCAACATTTAGAAGAAGCACACCATCTTTTGAGCTTTGTTTCAAGTGTCAAGCAAAGTCTAACCATCCACATTTGGCAAGATCAAAATTATAGAGATATGTATCAAAGACATCCAGATTTTGAGAGTTTTTGTATTTCATTTTTGAAATTATTGAATTTGATATATTGTAATTTGAGATGGAAATTACAATTCACATGCTGCCATTTTGTTTCTGTGATCTTTAAGACCTTGCTATATTTGAAACTCTCACTCTGGCATGATTTCAGAACATGCCATGTATTTATTTCCTGTATGGCAGCTCTCAGGCATTTCATTTGTTGTGGTGCACTGTGATTAAAAGTGAGAACTCAAAAAAAAAAATTGAAAGAAATTGATAGATAAAACTGAAGTGGTGTGGTAAGCATGTGGCCAAAACAGCTGAGAATTGTTGTCAAAAGTTGGAAATAAATAAATCAAAATAAAGTCAGGGCTGACTTACAGGATAAAACGTCCTCCTTCCAATGGCTGTAAATTCATGCCAAAAAATGTGAAAATATTACTTTGAGGTACAGCTGTACATGCCCACTGTGGCTACACTTTGTTAAATGTCATATTCTTGAATTCTTTGTTTAAATTCCTTTTGTTTAGTTTGAGTTTAATCAGTTATAGGCTACTTGGATCAGAGAGTGAAGAAGATATTTGAAAAAAAAATTTAATAAATTCATTTGTCAGTGGAGTATTGCAAACATGATTGTAACTTTCTTATGCCTTAACTCCAAAATTAAATTAAGATTGTTTTGTTTTTGAAAAGAAAATTAAATAAAACCACAGGAATGTGCCTTAACACAAAGCCCCTAATATAAACAACACATCAAAACATTATGATTTTCACAAACCATATGTACATGTTGAAAAATAAAAGGACTTAAATCAACATGAAACATGCATATATGTGTAATACCTTAGATGAAGTTCACGATTAAAAAACATTCTTAGTTTCAATCTTTCAGGTGTTCATCAATGTATGTGTAAAAAACAGTAATGAAAAATTTCAATCTTCAATGGTGATCACTTCTGTAATAACAACTGAATGCAAGCATTCCAGTTTTGGGTTCATCCACTCTTTCTATTTAATGACATTAATATATAGTCACTCATATGTAAGTAGCTCTGATTGTTTATTTCCCATGGTTTGTGTGCTCTGTAATTGATTTAATGGCCTTTACAATTCATATTCTTTTGTGTACTTACTTCATTGTTCGTGATCAATCTTTCCCTCCAAGAGTACTGTGGTTTCCTGTCCCTTGTGTGATATTTTTTCCTAATTAAAAAAAAAAATTCTTACTAAAAATTGGTTCTCTTTATGACTGCTTACTTTTACAGTTTAAGTGGGCATTTCTGTTAATTTGAGACAATTGACTGTACTCTAAATGAGATAACCTTCATTATCTACAATTTCTTCACATGTTAATTAATGTGTAATTTAATCTGGCATGAACTGTTTTCACCAATTACACTGTTTTGTTGGGTGAATCTGGGTTAATGATTTGAGTTTCAACGGGATTAGAAGTATGGAAATTTTGAGTGTTTAAACATCTTTTTAAGAAATTGCTTTTAAAAGGCAATCAAAGCCCCAAAATAACTTGGTGTTTCTTAAATCTGTTTACCTTCTAACTTAAGCTTAAGACTGTAAACAGACACAGCAGGTTGCATGACAAGAACTGCATTTACATCTCTTTGATTAATTAAAAGCCCCTGAAAGAAAGGAAAACATTTGAAACTTGTGTGAGATTTAGTAATACACTGGTTTTGGCAAAACCACAACTAGGGTAAATATCAGAGGGAACAGAAGGCTAATTGAATTATAAACGGAAATCATATGAAAAAATCTCTTTCATTGAAATTGTTCTGCACGACTAACATACTGGTATGTTACTGTTAGTAATTTATTCACAATCTCACAGTTCACAATCAAAATTGTTCAATTGCCAAGATTGAGAAATTAATGAAGAAAATTTTGTTCTTTCAATCCCAGCTTCATTTGGCAGCATTGGCTTCTCTGAAAACAGAAATTGTTGAGCTAACAGGGAAAGTTCAACAGTTGACTGAGGAACGAGATCAACTGCAAGCTTCCCTTGCACATGCCACCCAGGAACGTAAAGATTTGATTCATGATTATGAGGACAGACTTACTTCTCAAGCCCACCAGAGTGAACAGCACATCACAGAACTACAGAGTGTGATCGCAGAACTCAACAAGAAATTGTCTCAGTCTGCTGTGGATAAGTTTGATGAATCTGAAGAGCATGAAATAGAGTCACAGACATCTGAACGAGGTAAGACACAAGAACTCAGCTTGTTAACAAAAGAGTCCTCTATGTCATGCCACATACAATATTCTCATGCAAGAACAGTTCTGACGATCTGGATGATCGATCATGGTAGTGTGAACATTATAAAATCATAAGTACTGTAGGTGTTTGATGTGACTTAGAAAATGAAAGTTCCTCCAGGATGCAAATATTAGATTTGTAGTTATTGTACACTGAAAAACTGAAAATGTTTTGTTAGATTAAATTCACCACAGGTCCAATTTGAGACATATGCAGTCTTTTGTGGACTGTTAATGTGTTCAGTGTTTCACACATAGATGGTGGAGACTCCCCTGACCAAACAAGAACAACTTGAACCATGAAGTGATGGTCATTTGACATCATTTTCTGATATAGACTTGCAGTTAATTTCAAAATGTTTAGAAGTGACTTTCAATGATCATTTTGACATCTGACTAATGAAGTCATCAATGTGCCTCAAGTTTATTTGTTTTCTTTGTTAGGTTCTCAGAGTGATTCTGACAGTCTGGCTTCAGAGGAGGGTGTAAATGATGACAACACAGATGATGAACTGTCTAAAGTAGTTGGTGGGTTGGAGTTTGCTATTGATAGACAAGATAAAGACTCCAAAGTAGAGGACAAGAAAACAACTGCAGAAGAAGGCATTACACCCAAGGACGAGAAAGCCACAGAAGATACTGAGAAGAAACCTCTGCATCAATTACAATCTGTAAGTGCACAGGCAAGATTTTCTCGTGGGGGGGGGGGGGGGGAAGAGATTGTTGTACTGTTGCATCTTCTGGTTCTTTTTAGATTGTAGTGTGTTTTTCATTCACATTTCATCAATTATTGTCTTCATAATTTCTTTCCTTTTTTTGTTGTGGCACAATAACAACACTATAATACATCACAAGAACTTGCATTATATAGCAGTGTTAAGAAAAAGGAAAGAAAAATCTACATCAATGAGAAAATAAAAGGGGACTGACAACTGAAAATAAGCAAGGACATTAATTAAACGGTGGGGGGGCCTCCAGTGCCTTAAATTATTTTTAACAGTATTTAGATACTATTTCATTGTTCAACTATTTTTTTTTTTGTAAGCTATATGTTATGAAATGATAAATATAGTGTTCTCAAGTAAGAACATTTATTAACAAGCGATGTAGAGGAACACACGTATAATAGATTTTTAAAGTAAAATGATTTTTCCTGCTGCAGCTTGCAAAACCTGAAGACAAGACATCTAAAGAACACGAAGAACTGCAGTCTAAATGCAGAGAGCTCAGAGTTCAGTGTCTAGAACTAGAAAAGAAGAAACAGTTATGTAAGTGAGAGATTTTGGTTCCTTTGGGGTCGTAAAATGTAACACTGTCCCTGGTCTTCCTGCTCTATGGGATAAATGTTGAATTGATTTTTCAATTCCTACTCCAAGTTTATGCAAATTGATTTTCACAAGTTTTACTTGATGTTTAAGTGGCCTTCACAGCATAGTTTGTGATAATAAGGATGATTTTAATGATACAATGTAGTTTTAAATTATTATAATAATATATAATTATCTTGATGATGAACTGTTTTCTTTTTTTTTTTTTGTAGTGGAACGTCAGCTACAGCAGACAAGTTTAAAAGAGTGGGTATCACGAAAAAAGTCTTCTGGAAGCACAGAAGTAAGTTTTTTTTAAAGTTTTCATTACTGAGGTGTTTGGTGTGATTGTGAAAATGATCAGCAGGGCCTAGTTATTCGAAGGCTGATTAGCACTACCCCAAGGTTAAATTTCCATTCAAGTTTCTTTATTCCTTAGTTCAAAAGCCTTTTTCGGATAATTTTTTCTTTTCAAAGCATCCAATCATCATCTTGTAGAAAAAAATAATTTTACTGAATTTTCTTTTGAAGCTTTCAGATCTGAAATCAAATTTCATACTAACCCTGGGTTATCCGTGAACAACCCGGCCTAATCTGCTGAGTTTGCACAAAATTTTGACCTGTATCTTACCCTCCGCTGGCTTTGGGCATGCTTCTGTTTTAACCCTTAAAACCTTGGTAGTGACTAGCATCTAATTCTCCTCACCGTAAAACTACTGAATTATTCACTAAGATCAGCAGGAGAATAAAGGAAATGCTTGCCAACCTAAGAGGTTTTGCTTGTTAACAGACTCTACATACTACACTTAAAGTGTCATGTTATTAGTTACGATGAAATCCCATAGATAAAGATGTTTTTGACAGAATTTTTTAAGGTTGCAAAGTGGTGAACCAAAATCAAGTGAAACCTTGAGCGGGAGCCTTTATCGGCAATAAGTTTCACATTCCTTTCTCTGCGGTAAAAACGAAAAACCGAAACAAGGCGTCTGCTGTAGCTGGCTACCTTTTTGCTGATGACCAGCGGGGCTTGTCAACCCCTCCTGAGAACAAAGAAACAAAGAGACAAAAGGAAACAAAAACCATGATAGAAACATGGTCCACTGATAATCTAAGTGAGAGGCGTACGCAACAACAGATCACCTTTTGGGAACCGAGACAAAAATTCGTTAGTTGATGGAGTACCTCATTGACTTGCACCAGGAACAGCCTTTTTTTCTGTGTGTTTTCTGCGTACACTGTGCAAACTAGGGATAACTGCCCGTGCTATTTCAGATATGTGTATCTGACAATTTTTTATGATTTTAATTCGTCTCTCTGCAGGAGCTACAATCGGTAACATCTGAAAGAGATGGCCTGAGGGCAAAACTCAGAAAAAGTGAGGTGGATTTGGAACAAATCAGATCTGAAAATCAGGGTTTCAGAGAGGAGCGAGACCGACTTAGGAGAAGAGTAAGCTGCCAAACTAGTTTGAACACTTTTTAGGCAATAAAAGATCACTCTTGGGGGAAAAATGTTCGAAAAGCAAGTGGTATTTTGTTTAATCTTAGCTTTGCCACTGTGGTTACCTGTTGCTTTTCAATGCATTATTGAGTGACTCATTGAGAGTTGCATGTGAGCCGTGCGTAACAAGGAAAGAAATTTTAGAGTCTGCTGGGTGCTGTATCGGCATATGTAGAAGACTATTTATCAAATTTATCTAGAATCTTCAACGTTCTGCAAATTTTGACTATGTGATTTCGTTGACTATTAGAATTTTATAATGTAAAGGGAAAAAGTTATGGTTTCGTGAAAACGTTTGGATTAGATTAGATATTTAAATTTTTAAAAATTGCTTTGTTGTTGTCGTCAGGTTCTTGAAATGCAAGATCAATTGAAGCTTCTTCACCAGAAATCACTTCAGTACGAACAACAAGTAAGGACAAGAGCGAACAGCATGCAGGGATCTGGTAGCCAGCCCAGGTCCCCAAGTACACCGCGACGAAACACTCAACCATCATCCAGCCAGTCGGGAGTCCGAACGCACACTAGGCAGGCTAGTGTCGGTGCAGCCTCTGATATATCGTCCAAAGAAGGCTTTTTGACATCTCCTCGTATTTCACGGCGCTCAAGCACCGATAATCTAAGCACTCACAGCCACGGTCGAAGCTCTCAGTCTATTCCAAATGGACAAGTCCGCAGACCAAGTATTTCGGGAGCAGTGTGGGCGTCTGCTGATGGCAGCTCGCCGATGCCGTTACGCCACCCATCAGGTAGTGTCCAGTCGATCTCAAGTCAGGCGTTTTGGAGGCCTGGGGCTACTAGTGATCTGGGATCGTCTATGCATGGTTCAACTCAGGAGATCACTGTTGTAGCTAAAATGGTGGATGATGGTACATATGGTGGTGGAATCACTGGGATGAATTGTATTAAAGCTCTCGTAAGTGCTAAATCTTTTCAACGAAGGACTAACGCTTTAGAAACTCTCTACGGTGGTCAGTTTACATTATCAAATGAATTTATGCATCATTAGAGCGGTAACCTTTGAGCAACGAAGTTCCGTGCACAAAAGTGATAGAGCTGTTGACTCGTTTCGAAAACTTGTTATTACAAAAGCTCGCAGTAGAATGACGAGTTATTCCGTTCTTCCCGGATAAATGACACTGATTTTCACCTGTGCAGTGCATCAGCTGGCTCAGTTAAGTTATAAAATGAGCATAGATATTTGAATTTCTTCTTATCTATTTACTTATGTAATTATTTTTTTCCCTTCAGAGTCAATTACCAGAATTTGTTTCTGATAAGATGCCTTCGGATCTTGTCAAAGCTCTGGAGAGTTGTAGGACGGCCCAAGATGTGTTCAAAGCTTTGTTCACTTATTGCGACGCACAGGCAGACAAAAGACTTAAGGAGTACGAACTGGAACTTGAAATGCTGACAAGTCGGTTTGATCACTTACAAGCTCAAAACAATGTTGTTTCGTTGTCTTTAGAAGAAAGTAGAAACAATGCGGATAGGATGTGCGTTTTAATGGGAAAATACGAGTCAAATTGTACAGCGCTTCAGTTGGCATTGAACTTTGCTGACCGAGTCATTGAGGCATATGAAGTTTTGTTGCAGCTCTCCGAAGCAGAGCAGGCGAGACTTTTTGCTAACTGTCGAGCGGCTGGGGTTAAAACTGGTCTCCATAGCTACGCCAGCTCTCCAACGGATTCAACTTACAGACTTATTTACGAAGAAGCGGAAGTCGATGACAACGATCGGGTTCCCGAAGATGTTGAATCGTGTGTGAATCGGAGAAGAACGGCCGAGAACGAAGCCCGCATGCTGTTGCAAAAGCTTGATCGAAACTTCGAGAGCCAAAATAACGCTGGTCAACCTTGGGATTCAGTATCATCAAATAGTAGAACTAGTTCGACAGGCTCGTCCAATGACATGGAGTTTACTCCGGAAGAAGAAGCAAGATTAAAAAGTTACATTCAACAATTAAAGTCCGAAAGGTCAACGGTAAGCTTGACAGTAATTGAATTGGAAAGCTTGCACGAAGTCGCGCAACCCAAGGATTTGAAACTAGAGCCGCTTGATCCTAAAGTAGATCTGGAAAATGCCGTGCTTATGCAGGAACTAATGGCACTGAAGGAAGAAAAAGCTGAATTAAAAGCGAAGAACTATTTAATTGAAAAGGAGAAGAAAGCTTTAGAATTGAAGATCACATCACGTGACGCCCAAGAACAGGCGTACTTGGTTCACATTGAACATTTGAAAACTGAGATGCAGGATGAAATCAGGAGACGAAGAAGGATTCAGAAGGACGCTGGCGTCGCTAGTAGCAAGGTTAGTAAAACTATTCAAAGATTTTCAGCGCGTTTAGTACAGAAGACACTGGGCATAAGAAATAGCTAGGCAGATAAACTATGAGGATTTTTTTCATGGTTGTAACAAAGTATGTGCCTCTTAAACGGTAGTTTTCCCTTTAATATAGGTGTCGATAAAGAGAAATTCCACTTCTTTCACCGCTATGTCGTGCATGGTATGAAGTGTATAAACGAATTATTTCTTTCAGTCGGACGAGAAGTCAGGTGGAAGTCCCTCCGGCACTCCGTCCATCACCCTCGCTGAATTAAAAACTTCAGATGAAGACATTCCACCGGACCTGTATGAAGCTGCTAGGAGAGAGAAGAAACTTAAGGCAAGAATACAGGAACTCGTAGAAACTTTGGAAACCCTCTCCAAAAACTCGGAAACGAGGCATCAGCAGACAGCAGAATACGTGGCGGACTTGAAGAAAGCAAATGGCGCGCTTGTGGCTGCGTACGAGAAAGCGAAGAAAAAGCACGGAGCCAGGCTGAGAAAGCTAGAGCAACAGATGATTACTATGGTGGAGAGACACGACGCGCAGGTGAGATATTAAGTGTAAACACGCATGTGCGCGCAGTGAGATTATGATCGACGAATCACATTTACAAACGCTTTACTTTACAAGTTTGATGACGCAGATCGTTTAAATCATCAACAGACGGTGAAGTCTCTTTAGTGCGACACTTCGCGGTGGGTTCAGCGGGGTGAGCTTAGCTATGTTGATGATGAGCCGGTGTAACATTTCGAACGTACCATAACGCCAAGCGACTGGTTGGTTATTTAGAAGATGAATGATCTGTTACAAAGGTTCTTAGTAACGATATGTACTCCTATTTTAAGACATGTGCAGGGAACTGAACTTAGTATACCCAGAGTGGTGTATTAAGCTTTTTTCATTTGATGACTTTCCGCTTTATTCTTTTAGGTACGAACAATGAAAGAAAGGATATCGCTTCTTGAAGAGGAACTGAAGACCACGGCAGCTCGGCAGAACGAAACAGCGCTTTAGTTCCGTCGTATGAATGACGTAGTATCGTCGCAAGAACCGTCACTTCATTTGCAGAATGAGATAGCACTAGGGTTGCCCGTCCTATGTCCACGTTCTTAAATTGTAAACAAGTAAGGCCAAAAAGTGGAATAGGAACTAGCCATCTAGTTCATGTGACAATCAAGTGTTCAATGATCTCTAAATATGAGTAACCCTTAAGACGCGTCCGTGACGACAGCGTTACAGTTGTGTGTCCCACGCATTGTGGGACAGTTACTCTTTGGCTAGAATTTCGAGTCCATATGCAAATACTTTACATAATCCCTTTGTCTTCTAAATATATTTTATTAACAATATTTAAGACCTTCATGGCTGAAGGAGTAATTGCTTATGTAAATACCTACAAATCAGGCTTGAGAAAGTTTTCAAGTAGTAACGCTTCCTGGGGTAATTTCCTCAGCCTGCTGAGGTTAGCAAGGGTCTCATACTGTTAAAATTTTCTTGGCTTCCCTCTGTAGCTTTTTATATTATAGAACAGAAAAATAAAGGTTACTCAATGTACTTTTATATTTCGGTAAACAATGCTGCTGAATGAAATTTTAATGGGGACCTTGAGCAGTTAGGACGGCAAAGTCTAAGATGTCGTTAAAAAAAGAAATGACCTTATATATTTTCAGTTGGAATTTTTCGAATGTCTGGATGTGTTTACCGTCTCTTGCGGTGCCACAACTCAACTTCGGTATAAGCGCTGAGTTCCAAATGGAAATTTAAATAATTTGTCGTCGGAGTTTCTGTCGAGTTGTTGTTTTGCAGAGGTCGGCAAAGAAATGTACAAAGTCTTCAAACGCACGTGCTGAGCTATTATTCTGCCCATAAGATCTTTTGTTTTTGGCACGCCCTCCTTACCTTTGCGGTTGTGATTTGCTTTAGGTCCCTAATATTTTTCAATTACACCGATTTTGCTAGAAGGAAGCAAACATCCTTTCTTTGGTTTGCGAAGTTCTCAAACAATAAAGAACAGTTGTCAACATGACACGATTTTGACGTCTCCGCCTCCAGCACCTACTAGACACCTGATTGGCCGAATAAATGGCAACATAAACGTTCTTGGAAATGTAAATCAAAATAACAGCAGCGGATGTCTTCCACGAGAAGGAAACGATGTTAGAGCATGGTCATGATGACATAAATTCTTGAAAACGACGCAACCTAGTAAATTCTACTATTCTAATAAAGAAGCTTGCATCGTTTGCTTTGGCTCCCTTGAGGTATTTTCGCTCCTTCTGGTTGGCCGTCATCATTACGGTTTTGGTGTTGGTGTGACAACACTCAATTGAAATGCACTTTAATAGGTAATATCAAATTAATATACATTTTAATATAATAATAAAAGTAAGACCATTGGAGAACTACAGGCACTGTATAGTAACATAAGGTACTAATAGCGAACTTGAGGAACAGTGTCCTTTTAGCGCAGGTGCGTACATGCCTTGCACAGCTGGTGGTCGCGCTAGCCAAACCAGTCAGGTTGGCTACAGCATCATTTGCTCCCCAGCGGCACCAAGTCCTGAGGAACCAGGCGCTTAAGTATGAAGTCTGCCATAGAGGTTGGAAACCGCGCTAGCCAGGCAAAAATGAATTTGGCATCAAAACCAATCAAATAGCGATCACGTGGTGTCTGTGACGTCAAAGCGTCCACGACGGCATCAACAACGTCACCGGTACGACCAGAAGGAGAGACCAAAGTACTGAGAGCAATACCTAGAGCAAATCACAGCAGTTAGCAAAATTAAAATTACTGAAGTCAAGCAAGTTCTGTCATGATGGTTTTTGCTTCTTAGTCTACCGGAACCCGCAATGCATTTGATTTTCAAGCAAGAGGAGCCATGCGCAAGTCGAGTGCGAGGGGCGAGGAGCAAGACACGTGCGAGGTGAGGAGCGCGGGAAAAATGTCACTTTCATCACACTCCTCGCCTCGAACACTTTCTCCATACGCTCCATAAAAAACCCCAAAAGTGACGCTTGTCACGCAAATTAGTACTTTGTAGTGTCAGTGATATTAATTGATCCTGTATTTCAAAGCTTTCTAATATTTCCAGAGGATTCAAGACTTCAGCACACAGAACGTGTGTCCTAGCTCTCAGTTGTCAAAAGTATTTCGTTCGTGTGTTCGAAGTATACGTACTTTTTTCCAAGTATTCTTCTCCGTATTCCTTTTTCAGTTCATCACTCAGGTTATTCCAACATTGTCGCAGCTGTCTCTCAATCGCGGCAGGCTGAGTCATTCCTGTCTGAAAACAGCCCGGCTCCATGATACTGACCTCTATTCCCCAAGAATACATTTCTCGTCTAAGAGCATCAGAAAACGCTTCAACGCCATATTTGGTTACAGCGTAAGGAGCGATACAGCTGAATGCTATTCGACCTGACAATGAGCGCGACATGGATTATAAATAAAGTCAAGAATGGTCGAGTCTTTAAGGCGTGACAAAAACAGATATAGTCTCCCTCCGCTTCAAGAGCCGAAGGAAAAACAATCTCTAATGTGCTTGATCAGCTGAATGTACTATTCTGACAGAAGTATATCAATACTTCGTAACCAGTCTACCTTGGAAAGGAAGTATATAACTAACTGTAAAGTACATTGCGAAAGGTCCCCCTTTTTCAAACTTAACTTGCCTATCGATATGTTCGTGTTGATTTGTCTTTGAGGATAACCACCAATAACATCTCGTACAGAAAAGAATCCATTTTATGTTCTGTAACTTACCTGCAGTACTTGAAAAGTTCACAACTCGTCCTCGGGCCTTCTTCACTAAAGGTAAAAATGTTTTAGTGACGTCAATCATTCCCCATAGATTAACATCTGCAATGCGTTTAAAATTGTCCAGCGGTTGCCAATCAATTGGTGATTGGATATGAATCCCAGCGTTATTAACCAGGCCCCACAGTCCTAAAAAGGAAAGGGAATATCAAAAACACTTGAGGAGTTTTAATGAAAGTGCGAATCTCATAGCTCCTTGATACATTACCAACGCATTATCCAGCAAACTCTGAAGTAATGAGAATCAACATGCTTATCAGTGAGAGAATGTTTTATTCCGGATTTTATTTCACTGTTTTCGCCCACTCGCCCTCGGTGTCTAAGTGACGCTCCTGTCTCGTCCCAGTCTCTAATCTCTATGTCGAAACAAGAAGTAGTATAAACATCTGAATTCCGGAGAAGCACGAAATTAAAGCTGATGATTTTAGATATATGAAATTCATATATTTGCAATGCGGTGAAGAGACGAAATTAAGAGATCCTCGCAACTAAGAACACTACTGAAACGAGTAGTTGAAAATAGGACCTGAAAAAAAAATTCAGGCCCGTACGCGATTTGAACCCATGACCTCTGCGATACCGATACAGCGCTCTACCAACTGAACTAACAAGCCAACTGGGAGTTGGTTTATGTGTTGGGTCCAAATAAACCATCCAAGTAATGAATGATGATTTTTGATATGTGAAATTCATATATTTGCACTACTCGTATCAGTAGTGTTCTTAGCCGCGAGGATCTCTTAATTTCATCTCTTTACCGCAGTGGTCATGGGTTCAAATCCCGTACGGGCCTGAAATTTTTGTCAGGTCCTATTTTCAACTACTCGTTTCAGTAATGTTCTTAGCTGCGAGGATCTCTTAAATTAAAGCTTTTTTCTACTTTCTCTTGTTGACAATACAACAAGCTAGCGACTGAAAGTGGTATACATATAAATTGCAATAAACAGTTCAAGTCTGATTGCGCTGTAGCTTGAAACATTGGCCAAATTCAATGACACCATATGAAACAGACTGAAGACAGTTTAACGACTGAAAGTACTGAAGTCTGTTTACCTGTTTCATCTGGAATCCGCCTTTCCACCTCATCGAATACATCTCTAATATGCTGGGAGTTTGTAACATCCATCTGGAATGTTTTCAGTCTGTCGCTCGTCACAGATTTTAAGTTCTGTTCGCCTTCCTTCGTTAAACAAGTTGCAATCACGCGAACTCCCATCTCGTCCAGTCGAATTGCTGTTTTGCGGCCGAAGCCGGAGTCACAGCCCGTAATAAGAACATATTTGTCTTTGATTTCAACGTTTGATCGTGGAATCAGTCTCCAGGCAAGATAAACTGCCAGGCAACCGACAAAAACTGGAATAAGAAACGACATGAGTTGGTGCGTGCTGACTGAATGATGCTCTTGAGATGCAGAGGTCGGCGTTTTCGCAATTAGAAAGTCACGATCGCTTGCGTTACTGTTACTAAAAAGTCAACTATGTCAACTATAGTACCCACTGTTGTCTCAGAAAGGAAAGTGATCAAGGTCAGCAATTTATCAACAAAAATGACGTCTGCTAAGAAATTTAGCCAGACTGCACTATGAATGAGACCAGGTACCCGTTTCGCGAAAGTCCTGGCGACTTCACGCATGATAAGTTAAAATCCCTATTCGAGTAATGTAAGTGCTGTCATAGCCTGCAAGCAAGACTAAGAAGGCTCTCAATGGCGCTGCGGCACGAACGCCGTAGACCGCGGGCGATGCGAGGCGTGCGAGGGGTCTGTCCCCCGGTGAAAGCGTTAAAGGCAGGAAAAGCACCGGATCGAAAGCGTGTTCAGAACGGGAGCTGTGGGCAAAATAACTTCGCTAGTGAAGATCAAAGGCTTTGAACTGAAGGAAGAAAGATTATCGCGTTCGGCTTTTTCCTTTTTCACCGCTGGAAGTCGACCAATCGGGCCGGTGCAATTCCTGTATTTAAGACTTGCGTTGCAGCATGGAATTGCACTGAGAGTGAAACGTTTGCAAATAGAACATATTACACAGCGAGTCAATTAGCGCACGAAAACTGCTCAATACTAGAGCGAAAACAAATATCATTGTTGTTTCAGTGGTGAATTTTCGACGATGAATAACAAACAGTAGGTAGCAAGTCCACGCCATAAATTTACCCCTTGCCGAAGTAGATTTGACCCGAAAATTTATCTTCCAGCAATAATATCAAAGCTTGTGTTTATTTGATTTGAAAAAAGGTACTTTTAATGCTAACATAACTTTCGTCCACAAATGCCTCCGTGATCTACAGGTCTCTTGAGCTCGACAGCATGACTAATGCTATTTTTAACTTCCAATCACAGGTCTGTGCAATTCCTGTATTTAGCTGCAAGTGTCCCCGGCATCACAGACTTCTCGCTTCCTCGCTGGCTCAAAACCAGCATGTTCTGCTGCACGTGTCGCAGCGCCAATAGGACACCTGTTAAAGCTTAAATACCATTCCATTCTGATGTATTTCCTTGTATCTTCAAAATTTGAATTCCCAGACTTTTGAGTAATTCGACCTTCAATTAAAACATGAAAAAACAAAATACATATTTTTGAGACCACAAAAATTGAAATTATCGAGGAAAGGCCCCTGTGAAGGAAAGAGTTAACTGGTTTTTAAACCCCTTTGCACCCTAAAATCAGTATTTATATTCTCCATACTGTTATCTTAACATTTCCGATGGTCTTGAAATGGAGAATTTGATTGACAATCAGGGGCTTCTGAAATTGTTGATCATTTTCATCATTCACACGACCTTCATAATTGATTCAAAGCTGATACCGCAAGAAGAAATAAGAAGTCATTCACTCCTTGGTGTTAGAGGATTTAGGTGACTCGGAAGGTACACAATTTAAGTTGAAAGCTAATCGGTCCGTTTTCTAGTTTTAAATAATGTGAGTACTTTTTAATTATAAATATCTTGCAGCAACATCAACAAATCGGTAACTTGTAACTACACTTGTTGTGTAGATAAATTAGCTGCATAGAATAAAAATGAGTTACTTGAACTACACTTCAAGTGTAGAAAAACTAACTGGGCAATAGAAAAAGGCCACAATTTAAACGTTCATAAATAAGTTACAGCGAAACTCTGGAAACGGAAAACACCGCAAGTATTTCTGAAATTTTGCTGTGCCAACAAGAAGACACCAATCAGCTAAGTAAGATTCAACTAACAGTTGTTAATTTGTGTTTGGCTGGTATCTTCTGATCTTAAATGATGTTCATCATAAGTTGACACAACAAACATTAAATAATGAAGTGATTCTCACAGGAGAGCCCTAAAGGAAGAAATTCCAGAGATGACGCCTAGATAAAAACGAAGAACATTCTAATGGCTTCCTCGTCTCTCATGCCTCGCTCCAGTAAAATGAAGCTATATTTGGGAGGCAAGGTTTTTTTTAATTGCAATTTAGCAGTGAGGATCAGTTCGTTACTCGTTATCATTGACAGGTCAAAATATGATTTAATTATTTTGCTTGTGGATGTGAACATTCCTAAAACTATTTTAGGTATTCTCATTTAGCATTTTTGTCTATCGGTTTACCGGCGAGTTAAACCACAAGGGATATTGGTTGGACACGAGAAAAGTTTGTAAGGCCCGGTTCATACGTCGCACTTCTGCCGTGTCGAATTCAATTCAATTAAGTGCGGCAGAAATGCGACAGCTGATTCATACGTCGAATTTCTACCGAATTTAATTCTTTGAATTGATACTGCGGTGCAGGTCCGTCAGCGGAAAAATGTTACATTGGTTACGTAACTAGACGTAACTATCTAATATGGCGGACGAAGATACTAAACGGAGGCTCTTTATTTTTCAAAAAGTTTTTGAAGGAAGGCGAAGGAGGAGGCTGACAATGCAACAGTATATGCTGCATCGTCTTCAGGAAAAGCATAGACTAATAATTCAACTTTTGCTGTTGATTGTTCTCATTTTGTCTCATCAAAATGCAACACAAGTTTATCGATCCTGTCGGCGACGTGACAATCTCGCCATTGCGCTTTTCTGCCTCGTCTCTTTTTATTCGGCGGGGCCAAATTTTCATTGTCAGACAAAGAAAAAGAGCTTTCTTCTTCTGAATCTGAAGTCTCTTCCCTTCGTGACGCCATCTTTTTATAGCTAGCCTCAGTCTACGCATGCTCAATACATTAACATAATGTATGAATTAAATTCGACACGGCAGAAATTCGACGTTTGAATCGGTGTCGCATTTCTGTCGGATAATGCGACAAGACTAGTCGAACGTGCGGCAGAAATGCGGCAGCCGATTCAGACGTCGAATTTCTGCCGAATTTAATTCGTTGAATTGAATTCGACACGGCAGAAATGCGACGTATGAACCGGGCCTAAGTCAATCGCCTGCAGACCGTAGGTTACAAATTTTTCTCGTGTTATTTCGCTGGGTAACCGATAGAAAGTACGGTCTATTTCTTTAATAAAATATCTATGGATTTACCGTTTCAATAAATGATACGTGTTTGGCTTATCAAAGAGCTCGAAATATTTCGGTTACTTTTTAAAAGCTAACAACTTATTGCACATAAAATGCACTCCGCCAGTCAAATTATAACATTAACAAAATCTGCTTTTCAGTCATTTTCATCGGAAAGAGAACCCTGAAATATCAAGAATCTGGTTCTTCAAATTTTTCATTGAGCAACTCCTCGACTCCTTCGACGACCTCGCTAGCTACACTGGACATCTTCGCCAGCAACTGTGTAGGATTTGAAGATTTGGCAGCAAGTTTCTTCGACGAAGCCTTCCTCGAGGGAGTACCGACTGGTGTAACAAGAGCTTCAAAGTTCTGACCAGTGGCTTTGTCGAAGTAGCTGTCCATTTCCCTCAGTGGTATCGCATTGTGAAGTGTACGCAAGGGATTCAGTGATTCCACTTTCGTCATTTCTTCATAGAAGTCTGCAACTTAACAATGGAGGCCAAGTATTAAGTTTTCAACACCGAATGTTGCATTCTAGCGTTCTGATTGATTCACTCAACTCCTGTTAATAACTCCTATTATATACCAAGACTTGAACTTAACAAAACGAACACTGTGATTGGTTGATTCTTGGTCACGTGCTCCTAATCAAATTGTATCCCGACCTGGATACAATTGCGCAGTTGTTGCCCGCGCGCCGAATACAACAGCACGTTTTCGCCATATGATCGTTTAAGGGCAAGTCTAAATATATAGCAAAGCACTTAATATGTTGGCCCGAGAATCCTGATGTTTCCCGAGACAAAGTCGGGAAAACTCTCGGGAAAACAAAACTAACTGTTTCCCTCGGGACGATACATTAAGTATACAATATTCCGAGTCACCTTATATGGAAATTCATTGTGCCAACTGTTGCGGAGCTGAAAAAAGGCTCCAAATATCCTAACATTCAAGATTTAGAGAAATTTAATAAAACATCTTGAAAAAGACTTTGGTTATAACCAATTCTAACCAACTCATATCCAAAGCGCGCGCATGGAATAATTGTTAAGTAATCTATTAGCATATACCTCAAACTGATTGGGCAAATACTGTAATTTTCATCGCCATTATGGATATCATGATCCAAGTACGCCCTTGTCTCCATCGCTGTTTGATCTCGTCACACGCGTTGCGTGACGGGGCCAAACAATGACTGCGAGGGAGACTAAGTAAGCGCTTACTCTTTCCTTTGTTTTGCGCTTCCGTTCTTCGTTTCGTGACTCCGTGAGATTTGTGTTAAGATCACGCCGTTCACTTAGTTACTCCCTGAAAGATTCATTCCACCATGGATAGCTTTTCAACCGAGGGTCGCAAACAAAAATGGGCTCAAAAGCAGATAAAACAAAGATTAATAACAAACTTATCAGTAAATATTTCTAAACGGCCTAGAGTGCACGAAAACGCAAGTGATCAAACTGTGATTGGCTCAAGCTTCTTTATCTTATGAGTTGAAAAGTAGTGCGAGTCTTTTTTTCACCAACAAGCCACAGCAAAATCAGCGCCACGGCAATCACATACTGGTTTCGACACTTGATTGTAAACAAGCTGCTCTAAAAAAAAAAAATTGATAGCATAGAGACTTACTTGGTGGCTTTCGGCTGTTTTTCGTGCTTTTTGTAAAAGAATATGGCTTGACAACCAAAGCACTTTGAATGGCATACGAAAGATTTCTGACTGCACGAATGGAGGAGGTTGTAGTTCCTAAAAAAACAAACAACGAATAGTGATTATAAGATTCAAGCACACCCCACTAACCCACTCATAAAATAAAGCTATTCCGTAGAAATAACCAGACCACTAGACCACTGACAAAACATTGAAGCGACTCGGATAGGATATGTATAATACTAAAACCAAAAACAAAGAAAATGGTTTTCACCCACGTATCCCCTGCTCTCAAGACGGTTGTGATTAGCTGATTAGTAATCACATGACCCTGCATAAATTAAAATATAGCCCGAATGAGAGACATTTATTGAAAGCGATCAATGTCTAGGTTTTGCACGTGATCAGAACGTGGCTCAGGCCAGTGGTGTGACATCAAATGAACAAAAAAACTTACACACTATGGATACTTGTTTCCTCAATCTATAAAAGCCCGCAATCCAGTGACGAATGAAAAATTTGCCCGTCTTTGTCTATCTCAAAAATGATTCAAAGGGAGGGAAAGAATCCAGCTTCCTTACCAAGTATAAATTTCCGCGGAGAACCTCCCTTCTTCAAGGACGGGGTTGACTGGACAACCTTTAATGGCTGACCGCCCAAGTCGCTCTTTCCCTGGTCTCGCACCATATCAAACGAGACCTTACGTGGCCGAACAGAAGAAGTGTCCGACTTGGCCGATGAAGGCTTTACTCTGCCTGTCAATAAAACACTCGCTGTTAAGCAAAGTACAAACATTCCAGTTAGTGCACTGTGGTAAATTTTCCCGTAACCACGCCTGCCTTTAGATATTTAAGCCACGTGATAGATGTCGGGCTACCAATGCATCGGAAACACCCTTGTCATTAAAAGTTAGAGTTTTGAAACTTCTAAACCTTTTATCGTTCAGATACGGTTCGTGACTCAAACACGTTCTAGCACAGTAAGGGGTAATAACCACTCTTCATTTTTGGAAATTTACGCGCTCATAATATCACCTTGTGAAATGTGAATTTTACACTAATCAATTTCCTCACTATCTACACTACCTGCCACAAATTGCAATTTCCGACCTTTAGCGAGCATTTAACTTCCGAGCACGGAATTGCGAAAATTGGTAACAATGATGGGTGTAACTACTTTAGTGGACCAGTCTTGCTACATCATCATCCTTCGGGCTGAAGTCAAATACTATTTAGATAATTTGTACTCGAAAGTAATCAGCCATTGATGTGCACATTTCCCAAATGGACGAATGAACGAGAATGTGAAAAAACGTTAAGCAATTAAATATTCGCATACATGAGAAAGTAACTAATGAAAAATAAACAATGTACAATCAACTCTTAATTAGTAATCAGCAGCCATCAGAGGTGCTTGTCAATACGCGGGAAGTTAGGTTTGAAGGAATTTCTACAAGGTGACAGCGAAACAAGGTTAATAAAAGTTTTATAACGTGCTGAGTTTCATGCATTTACACAAGTACTGGATGTTAGTCTTTGCTGCATAAGAAGCTTTAGATTAACTGCTCAATATAAATCAAAATACAGAGAGGTTATTAAAATACTTGAGATATTAATACTGAGATATTAGGTTAAACGAGATTTACATCGAAAGAAAAACTTGGCAATTTTACACACAAGTCAGATTCAGTGGACATTACAGATTATATACTAACATTTTAAACTTTCTTAATACTTATCCCTGGGATTTCCAGACACTCAAAACACGGTAAATAACTAAATAACAAAACACAACTAAAAAGTAACAAACTTGTGCGACAATTAACTAAAAAGAATCCTTCAATTATCGTTTCGTTATCGTAACTATTTAAGTGTTCTTTCCGCTGTTTTAAGTTTTAAGGTGCAGTTTAAGGCCGCAGAGGTGTTAAAGTGAAAAAGAACAAATTCAATTGAGTGACGTAAGTAATCAGGGATAACAAATGATTTTGTTTTACCTCGCTCTCTGATTGGTTTAGAACACTAACACCACCTTCTCGACCAATCAGATGCGAGACAATAATCAATCAAAATTTCGTGCCGCAGTCGTTCGTGTTTTCCCGCACTTTCCCACGCTTCTCGCACGCTCTCCCCGCGCTAAGGGGAGTTCGCATGTTTTAGCTTTGCTTTCTTATTGGTTTGTTCTGACCTTTCCCGTTGTTCTAAAAAGCTGTGGAACTTTCTTTAATTCATTACCACTAAATGATGTCTAATAGTTTGTGACAACGGGGAAACACCAACGAGGGACGGAAATAAAAAACAGAAAAGAAACAAGGTCGTTTAGGGAAGAAGACGATTAGAACGGATAGTTCAAAAGTTAAGCCCCACAAACTGTGGAGTAGGCTCCTTCTAACGAATACTGAACACACTGAAAAATATAACTGAATTCCTGTCTTCCTGATGCTATCTGTGCCACCTTCTTTTTCACCTTCTTCGTCAAGAATCACGTCATCATCGTCTTGACCACTTCTTTTGCCTTGCTGATCATCATCAGTTGAACCGTATTCATTCTCCTGATCTTCTTCGTCAACGGTATGCAAATCAGTCCTGACTCCTGTTGTCATTACAGTTTTAACGCCAAATGAAATGTTAGGCAGCAGAAACAAGAAACATTCAGGAAAAATTATCATGGTTGCCAAAGTCATCGATTTTCAAAGTTCCCTCACTTTCCCACAATAAATAATGAAAAAAATGTCCCTGAACGATAAAATGCAAAGTTCATCCTACAGTAACGGCCGTCTGCCTTCCCTCACAGCTGTCCATTTTACCCGTAGACATATTTCAGCAAACAGAAAAATAGAGCGTTCCTATTTTCAGGTTAACAAAACAATGAAGGGTGAAAGAAAAAACAAAACAAACCAAAAACGAACAAAACAGGACAGAACACAACGGAACAGCGCCAACTTCGTTAAGGGAAACTTAAATGAGTTCAGAGTAATCGTAGAAGCTTCCTTAAGCCTTCAGTTGTATTACATTAAAAGTGAAACTCAAACCCTCCTTCACGTTACACAATTCATTAGAACTTCGCTTTCCATGACTCAAGATAAAATTCACGGACTTTCTCCTGATCGAGTGGAATTTCCCATAATAGGTTCTGATCTGTGGCAACCATGTTTATAAATTTACTGTTAATGTAAGATTAAAGTACATATAATGGCAGACTAACCTACAAGCGCAGCGAACCTGCAGGCTTTCATTAGCGTGATGCTTAGCAATTAAAATGCTTAGGAGCCAGGCAAGGCAAGGGGTACTTCATTACGATCAAAATGTTTTTGCAAGCTAAGGAAGGGGTAAATATTTAAGCATTAAGGCAAGGAGAAGAGGCATAAGCTCGAAGATTATTCGTCAGGAACTGAGGTCCGTTGTCATTTAAACTTTACCAGGCACTTGAATTTAGTCTGGCTAAGGCCTTCTGGAAACATGTTCCCCAAAATTTGTAGACATTGAAAATGTCTTGACAGCGCAAGCGATATTGAAACTTAATTTTAGGCAAAAGCATGGCGCAACAACGTATCTATACTTAAAAATTTATCAAAAGGAAAAACATGGCAAAATGAAAAAATGAAAACAACCAAAAAAAAAACAGAAAACAAAGGCAAGAAAAATGCAGTAACCCCTGTTGTCGAAAGCCCTTATTTGGAAGTTTGTGATCACCTTCAATAAACATCAAAGTTATTTAATAATCTGAGGCAAGCTTACGCAGCCACATTTAAAAACAGTTCATGGGTAAATATTAATAATTTAGTACAAAAGTAGTCAAAACAATTTATCTTATTCGACCCTTAACAGCGACAAATACGCAATGCCAATAAAAGCGGACATATCCACGTGTTATCAGTCGTAAACACGCCTTCCTTTTATCCACATAAGGTTGACCTTTTTACGCATTGACAGTTCCCACGGTTAGACTATCCGAAAAATACTTATCACAGAACATTTGTTTGAGTTTAACTTCCCTCAAAAGCGTTAGCAATTTCCAGCTGGTACCTTTGTCAAGCCAAATTCCGTCCTTAAAGAATAGTAGCTTGATAAGTTTAATTTTTTAAAAGCTGGACAGTCAGGGGGAACGCGAAACCCTTGTGTTCACGTTCATTATTCCTCCCGCCATTTGGACGGTTATTGAGAGAAAAAAGGTCTGAGAGGAACAAGCTAATGTAAACTGCCAAGGAACACTTGTCCCGGAGGTATCTGGAGGTTTCGCCCCATTACTACTTCGCCCTTACCACCTTTGCGAGTTCGCCCCTTGAAGTAATACAAGTTCGCCCCCCACCTTAGCCATTTTTTACCCAAATCTTTCAACTTGTTTGCTGTCGACCATTTTCCTTTTCTACCATAATATGTTTCGATCCCAATTCCAGTGCGATAACTGTTGGGTTACTCTGTAGCTACGTTTACACTGAGGAGACAGACAAACCTACGATCCGCACGTTTACGGCAAACGACAAACGACACTTACCGAACGGACTTACCGAACTTACTTACCAAACATGTATAAGATTTACAAATACATCTTTCGCTTGGTTTTATCGTGCGTTTTCGTGTTTAAGATCAATGGCCATTTCTTTATCGTCTTAACTAACTCATAAACAAACATACCTTCTATCAACTTGCCAAAACAAAAATCATCTGGTGATCCATCAACCGAATGAGCCTTCGGCCTTCGACTGGCCACAAGTGGTTTGGAATCATCTTCTTCCACGATGCATTTTATCGAACTTGCCTCTTGGTCCTTCGTTTTTCTTCTTAGAGGAGAATCCCTTGTTGGACTTCCAACGGATAACACGTCACTGTCCGATTTACATCTCCTTTCAATTTCAGTTGGGGCGGGGCTAATTTCTGTTTCACTCAAACTGTTCCTTTGCCTCTTTAACGGTTTCTCTTCACCAGACGAGTCATCAATAGATGTACCCGAAGACACAGTACTATCACCTGTGCTTGGACCCACGGCAGAATCTGAATAGTCTTCCATACCGATTGAAAAACGTGGCCGCTCATTACCAGCGTATACAGTCTCATCGTACGGTTCAAATTCTTCGCTTTCCAAAGCTTCCTCCACAGCGGAGTTCTGCTCTGCACTTACAGAGCTACCTATGTCATTTGCAGTGTCGTTAACAAAACTTCCAGTTTTTTCCGTCGTCTGGGATTGTCCAGGATAAGTACTTGTGGCTATTCCGTAAGGAGCAGAGGAAGAATTAGGACTGTTAATTGATGTTGTCGTATTAACCACACTATCCTGAACTTGATGGCCATCATCCGCGACACCTCTGCTCGTTGTATATACATTCCCCGTCGTTGAACCACCAGCAGCCGACGAGATTCTCACATCTTCCTCACTTCGTTTCCTTGTAGGCGAGTTCCTTGCTAAAAACTCTGGATCATCCATAGTCTTGGCTCCAGGACTGAAGTGCATCTCCACATGAAATCGGTTTTCAGACAAAGGATCCGCCTTTGGATCCTCATACAACAACAGCACAATCTGAGTCATGTAGTTCAATTCTGGTACCTCTCCTAAGAACGACACAGCTCTCTGCCACTGGTTATCCGGAATATCCTGTCAGAACATATGAAAACTATCATAAAAAACCTTACCTCAGACGGATTTGTTTAGTTGTAAGCGAACTTGCAGGAAAGTATAAAGACAACCTCGATGTATTTAAACTGTAGGAGTAAGTAGTTAGTCGAATAGAGATAGACATTTGCGGAACCAAGAGAATTCAACAATAAAACATTAAGGAAAAGTTACATTTACGAGCTTGAGGGAAATGTCTAGGGGGGTGAAATGTCAAAATGTGGTAAAATATTTAATCATACTAAAAAAGCTATCCTCAGAAGATGGGTCTGAATTTTTTATTAAAAACATTCAGATAGTCAAGCTTAAAAGGTAAAACGTAAAGTAAGCAAAATGTCTGCGAAAAAAACTGTCATGTTGTTTTTAGAAACTATCTGTCGTTTATAAAAACAACATGTAGCCTTGAAGGTAACTTACTTCAAAAAGCTTTCCAAATCGAAAAGCATTTAGCACTGTATGCACGTGACTCTCACTTGTAAAATACAGCCTTGTTCGAACATGGCGATGCGGTGTTTCCACACTCTGTGAATAACTACAAAACAAAGAAGACAGCGAATTTTTTCACAATTGTAGCTTCATGACTCATTTACGTAACGTGACTTGACCAACTGACCCCGCGTAAGCCGCACGTGAAACAATACTTTAAGCTACCCGTGATACAATTATTTCCCTAATCAAGCACCGCGAAGCCCCCTTTTTTTTTGGGGGGGGGATGTGTTGGGGAGAGGGATCTGGGAAGTAAATGAGGCAACGCCTGCGAAATTAAGCACTCATTACCTGGGATTAAGGCGGGTGTGTATATCTGACTTGTCTGCGTGCCGGAGATCTCCTCTAATCTTCCTTAAAAGTCTTACACAAACTCTTTGAGCAATGGCTAGCTTCTCTTCCATTGTTATTCCGTATTCCTAAAAAAAAAAGGGGGAAATGTCATTCAAAACTAGTAAAGTCATAACATGAACATCTCAGACATAATCAGGTTTAGATCCTACAATATGAAATTTGTTTAAATTGAAGACCACATAAAAAATGCTACATTCATTAGACTGGGAAGTGGAATTTTGAAGGGGTTCTGGAGAGCTCCTCCAAATACACGCAAATGGTTAAATGCCCGATGGTAAGGAAATGGCAATTCTATAATTGGTATATGTCAACTGATGCGGCACCACTGCGATGAAAAGGTAAAACTAATAACTGCTGCCTTTTCGAAGGGTACATTTATTGTTATGAAATAGGTTGTCAAAATAGTATAATGACTGTTTTTAAATAAGGGGGGGCGGGTGTGTCAAAGTACAGGGCCGGAAAGTTGCGGGAGACTGGGAAGTCTAATAGTCGCTTCACTGAACTGAAAAATTTGGGTTCGAGCCCTTTAAGCGGAACAACATGTTGTGTTTTTGAGCGAAAAATTTTATCTCTCAGTGCCTGTCTCCTATTAGAATGGTAAATGTGTGCCAGTGAGCTATCGAGAAGACCAGACGAAAATCTAGGCTTAAAACTGGCTATGAAAGCGAGTCTGCTCTTTTATCTTTCTCACCTGCGGAATAACAATGTCTGCAAAAGCCTTGGCACACTTGTATAAATCCATAGCGTTTTTCAAACACAGGTTACTACATTTAACAAAAATTAACTACATCAGTATCTTCGACTGCAAAACAGATCGTTAAAATTTTATCTACGTTAAGTTAGCCTCCAACTGAGAACAGCCTACTGAAAAATACATAACTATCTAGCACATAAATCTGCTCATCAAATAAAAAAAACCTGTACCACGACTTCACATTTTATTTACACTGTAGCACTTCATAATTACATATGAAACGAATGGATGAGTAACTCAGAAGCTAGCGTCATCCTCTCTGCAACTCAGGTGCAAAATTAAAAATAATCACAACCTGCTCAGTCATATTTCCCGCGCTTGACGCAAGTAACATGTTTTTTTTTCTCTACCCGCTTTTGACACTTCTAGTCTGTTTTACCGATGTAGTTACTTAAGATTTTCTTTTAAAACAGAGGTCGAACATTAATAACACTTTTACTACCATCGTTCATATAGACTAGAGCCTCAGTGATGAACAAATCATTTATTAAACAAAACCATTAACGGGCCATTATCCCACTCGCTTTTACGAACCTGTTATGCTGCACGTCGTACTTGATACAGTCGTAGATATCTGGAATAAGACTGATGTCGAACTGGCCATTTTTCAACTTAAAATCCTGAACAACGTTAAGTGAATAAGACATTTTTATTCAAAGGGAGTACGTTTCTAAAGAAACTGTGGTGCTGCGTCGGTGGGAGAGTATAACAGGGGAATTTAGTATTATCAACTTAGTTGATAACGTAAATTGGCCACCGCAAATAGTTTCGAAGCTAACGTTTCGAGCGTTAGCCCTTTGTCAGACCCCCTTCTGACGCTCGAAACGTCAGGTTGGAAACTCTTTACTGTGGCAAATTTACGTTATCAACTCAGTTGGTAATACTAAATTACACTTTCATAAGTTCAGATAGATTAACGATTGAGAGACTCTGAAAACGGACTCACACCCTACATGTGCATCTGACCTTTTCTAACTTCGTCCACCTGTGCATCATCAGCTCCAATGTTTCGTCATGATAAAGGAAAGGATCTGCAACACAAAGATCACCAAAGGAGAAAATTAATTGAAGCCTAGAAATAAGCTTTCACAGAAACGCCTTGTAGACAATCAGCAACCAAACTTGTGTTAGGGACTCCAGGAGTTAAATTACATACGCGTTTGCACTTGCTCACTGCTTGACAAATTACGTTAAGCGCAACAAAAGTCTTAAAGAATAACGGTTCTTACACTATCATGAAGCCACCTCAAAGAAACTTTTCCAGTATTTTCTTTCACTTGGTTTCCCTCAACAAATGTCCCTGATAAGACTTATTTGCTCATATTTATGGCGACTTGAAATTTTTTCCCAGAAAAGTAGACTTGATGTTAAAAAAACTGCAGTTGTTAAGCGGGAGTGTTAAATGAGAGAAGTCAATAACTTTTGACCCTTATGTAGCTATTCTCACCTCTTGGATCATAAATTTTCTGGGATATCAGCTCCTTTAATTGTCCAGTAAGATTCGCTACCAAGTTGTGCAGCTTTTCACACATTTTGTATGGATTTTTCACAAATTTCATGGCATTCATCACAGAAGGAGACTTGTTTGGTGCAAGCTGCAATCAGACAAGAAAGCAGAGAACGCACGTTTTGACAAAATTAAAAGAAGGATAACTTGATCGCATCATCACTTAAAAGCGCTTTTTGATTAAGAGACGTAAAACCAGAACCAACGTAATTGCAACAGCCAATCAGATGAAAGGAATATACCCTTGAGGACCAATGAGAACTTCTAGTTCTAGTTACGCATCTGATTGCTAGCGAGAGAGGCGCGAGTTTTCGGAGCCAATCACAAAGCGAAGTAAAGCAAGAACGAAACAATTACATGTTACCTTCGATACCCAACTGAAAATTGCACTATCTAGAATTAAATTCCGACAAACCCTAGCAAAATCCTCTTCTTTGAAATCATCATTGGAATGAAGCATTTCATGAAGCCTGTGTTTTACTCTGTAGATAGAAAATTCCAATAATATTACTTTAAGAAAACATGTCAATAAATGAAAACAAGAAAGTGGGTTTAAAAAAAGGAAGAAATACAGTGAACATTGTAATTATTAAGTACACGTGAGTGTAATTTCACCATCATCCTCTCCATAATTTTTACATAAATGGTCACCTACTGAACATTAATGAGACTTTCACTAAATTGATCACAAGCGTTGGGCCTTGAATATTCCAAAACTTAATTAACAAATACACTTTCATAGAAAGCGTAGATATGTTGAACAAATATATCTCACACACAAATACTACTCGAGAATTGGAAAATCAAACTTGAACTTACTTTCCTAGTATCTTGGTAGCAGCATCAGAGGTGTCAAGCATTTCCGTGGTGTTCTTATCACTACGTACCAGATGTACAAGAACTGGTGTCAGCTCACCTTCAAGTGCAAGAAAACCCTACAGACCAACAGAGTACAAGCTTGTTTAGAACTAACACAGTATTAACTGTTTGACCACAAAAAAGGGACTGGCATCTAATGTCTCCTTACAATATCACCTCCGAATCAGACATTAAAGTTTCAAGTGTTTAATAAGTTTATAAATAGAAGCACATGTACGTAGCTGTTTGTTTGAGCTGGATACCTTTGCAAATGCTGCAGCTGTCATTTGAACTCGTCCCTCATCAGATGCATAAATCTTCAAGTCATGCCTGTAGGTGCTATGAAGTCGCAGTAAACCAATGCCAGACATTGCAGAGTATCTCCCTTGACCTCCAGGGTACATGCTCCTAAATTTTAAGATATTTGCATAGGCTAAATGTGAACAGAATCATGAAGAGGAAAAAAACAACCAGAGAGGTGGAACAACATTACATCAGAATCCACCAACAGTTTTGAGAACTCTTCCATTTTCTAATCAGAGATTGAAAATGAAAAAAGACTACACGTGAAATGTTTTAATGTGAAGCCACTGTGTTTAAAAATAGCCCCTCTCCCTTCTCCAGACAGGAGAGAGGCAATACCAAAATTAAGCGTCTTGTCCAAGAAATGACACATTGCAACTATCCAGAGATTGAACCTGGGCATTTCAAACTAGAGTCTCCATGCAATTAACTGGAAAATTTTCATCACTTGCTATTTCATATATATGTACCTGAAAGCCCGTCCTAACTGTAAGGCCTGCTCCTTTCCCATTGTGGTCAGTTCTCCACCCCACTTGACTATCAGCAGCAGTGCGTGTTCAGAGTCAACTGGTACCTTTAGTTTTTCATCTTTTGTTTCTTCATTTTCCTGTGATTCTTCACTTGATTGCCCTGTGCCTTCTTTACTGTCTTTTGTTTTTGCTTCCTTCCCTACTTTTTGCTTTCCACTCTTCTCATCAGAACCAGAATCTGTTAGTCGACTCTCACTGCTTTCACTTTCACTCCCATCTCGAGGTTTGCCAAGGTACTTGAATTGAACCTTTCTGTTAATTCCAGAGAAATACCCATACCTAAAGAAGATTGATGAGAGAAAAGCAAAATCAATAATACCATCAGAGATGATACCATCAGCAGCATAAATACAACCATTAAATAAAAGTTTGTACCCCTACAAAACATCTTCCTCATGGCACAGTCTAGGTTAATATGCACTATTGGCCCACTTTTTATATGTTTGCATTTGCATGTCTTGTTCTTCAACTCAAAACTAGTAACCCTTCCATATAACATAACTAAGAACCAGCCAAATATTGTGCACAATGGTTGACATTGTTCATTTTGACTTTTAATTTCTTTTAACATTCCACCCAGCAAAAATGAAGTAAAAAAATAACTTCTTAGAGAAAATTGAGTTACAAAAAGACTAACACAGCAAGGAATACATTCCCAAAAACAATTCAGGGCAAGAAATCCTGCAAAACCCAATTCGTGCCTAATGAATCAGAACAATATCTTGAGGACTCCCTTGACTTCACCCCAAAAACTTTTCAACAACTAAAAAGTACCAGCAAAGTCTTACGTATTTCGTGCAAGATTTGTGATGAATGACATGGAAACACATGTGAATCTTCAAGAATAACTTACATTTCCAACACACTTTTGAGTTGATGGAGCTTGTTACGCCTCTCAAAGATTGGAATCCCCTCCTTAATGTTGGCTAGCAAATCTCTGGCAATATTCAACACCTCTTGTAACTGGGTCGGCCTCTTCAACTTGAGCTTGTGTTCATCAAAGCCAAGATACTTCTTGAAAAGTTCAATAAATCTGGTATAGAAAAAACACTCAGTTTCATTTCATGAAACTTAACCCTTTAAGCCCTGATATCAACATGTATATTCTCCTCACTGATCTCCATACATTTTTTATTTTAGCGATTGAGAGAATTTGTTCAAACATAAAGACATTTTAACTTTGGTGATCATTTCATTCATTCTCATGATCTGTACATTTAATCAGGCAGTGATGTTGTTAGGAGAAATTAGATGCTAGCACTATTGGGGCTTAAAGGGTTGATTGTCTCATTCACAGGCATGTACATTATACATGTACAAACAACATAGTAAGTCATACAAGTTGCAGTTTCAAACAAATTTCAAACTAAATTTGAATTTTATTTTCCTTTTCCCTTCTTAAAGTTATGCACCTTCCAGCTATGGAACGACAGAGATAATAATTCAAACATGTTAAACATATTTTTGACCTGCAATTCATGTCAAACTACAATACACAAGTAACAAGTCATGCCCCACAAAAAGTCCCCATAAATATGATTCAAATAAACTATCTTCGGGAAGCTATATGGATTGAGGTACAATGAACATCACTTACTGGAATTCCATGCACCATTCAATATCTTTACAATATCATTACAATATCATTATAATATCATTATAATATCATTACAATATCATTACAATATCAAGCACACAAGAGATGACATAAAAGAAAAATACCAAATGGGGGATTATTAGTAGATTCAACACCAAATTCTCCAAACTAACAAGCTGAAGATAAAAATTGTGCAGCAGACAGTTAAGAGAATTATTAAAAGAGATCTTGGAAGTGAAAGGGTAAACACTGTGTTTATCTCACCTTGGATGCCTGACTTCCATCTTCATTTTCTGCTTTGGAGTTCGGTCACCATGCCTGATAATGCCAATAACACACCTTAGCTCTAACATGGTACCCTCCAGGGCTTCAACAGTGGGTGTCTCTTCTGGTAAATCAAGATTGTACGGTGTGTATAATTGAGGTGCTAGTTTATGTACAATAAGGCTCATTAAGACCTGTGCTGCATCATCATAGTACTTCTTGGATGTCTTTACAAAACTGAAGCCATTGACATCACAAACATAGGATTTGCCATGAGTGCGCAGTAAATCACACCCACAAACTGTTTGCTAAGTGGAAAAAGAATTCAAGATTGTTCAGTATGCTATAATATATAGAGAATAATACATGGATGAGTGTAGATATGGAATTTCTCTTTAAGTGTTATACTCAATAGCTCATGAGTAAGCACAGCAAACACGCAAGATGCCAGTTGAACACCAAAAGAGAAATTCCATATCTACAAGCAACCATGTATTATTTTGTTTATTATATAAAAACATTAACCCTTGACTGACAAGAAAAGTCGACTTTATTAATGTATGAAAATAAAAGGATTGACAATCTCCCTGAGGAAAGTTTGAACATCACTGTCTGATTTAGCAACCACAATATGAGAAAATTCTGACAAACAAAGATGAATTGAGAATGGTGAAGGCTTTGCCGTTCATTCATCAACCTGACTGAGTGGCAAGAAAGGCTGATTGGCAATATCAAACACACATGAAAAAATACACTATTTTGTGATGCATGTTGTTACAGCTTTTCTCTAGGCTTGAAATCCTCACATACCAGTAGCACCATAGTTTATAAGATAAATAGCATGAACAGTTCAAGTACATTTATACCAACATCACCACCATGGGGGCAAGCATTCAGTGCTAGGACCCAAAAAGCTCCATCACTGCTGCAGCTAGTGTCTATAGACTGAAGAAGCTAGAAGTGTCACTTCTTCTCCCAAGGAGTGTGTAAGTCTACAGCAAGTTATCCCCCAGCATTTCATTAGTCTCCTCTCTCCTCCCAGGAACATAAACCTTAATCTCAAAGGTAGACATTAGCATGGCAAGAGTAAATGCCTGACCTGAGAATACAGTGACCATGACCAGGAATCTGTCCAGGACTTTTCAATCTGGAGCTTGTCCTTAGTGTAAAGTGGGTAAATCAAGGCACAGTGGTAAACAATGCAAGTGGTGGTAAGATAAAAAGAAGAGGGCTTGGGTCAGCTCAATAAAAAAAAAAAAAGGACAGGTCGTGCACTCCCTCCCTTTTGGCACTGCTATTGCCATTGAGCTGTTTTCTGTTGCACTTTGTTTTACCATCAACAGAATCTGTGTCCTATCCTGATAACTTGTACCAATTTATAAGCAACGCATCCCAATACCTTGAACAGGTTGCAGACTTTATTTGCCAGTTCTTTCTCATACTGGTTTAGGATGACAGGATAACGTATCTCCTTTCCTTGACTATCTCTTTCAACTTTTCCATCAAGTGAAGGAGACTTCCGTGCCTCAGCATGAGCATACTCTGGGCCCACTGTGTACACCTTGATTTATTGATCCACAAAAGAAAAACCTGTCTCTTACTACATTTTATAGAAAAATATATTCTTAACCTAAAACAAGTGTTTTTAAGTTTTTGAGGATGATAATGAATTACAATTAGTCTCATAGTACAGAAAAATAAACTTTGAAACAAGGAAAAAAAAACCAGAACTATAACCTACATGTTATGTCTGCTAATTTCTAATGAATTGAAATTATGTCCATGCACTTCTCCAGTGTCCTCCTTTTCAGGAAGTAAACAGTGAAATTTAACACCTATAATACCTGTTACATTTGTATTACCACAGACCTAACATCCCTTGGAATGATCAAAACTCAAAAATTTAACAAGTGAAACGATTGATTGATTGGTTTGTCATGCCTAAAATAAGGGAGAACCCTACTTCTCTAAAAGGTCTCATTTCAAAACAGAAAGAATTACAGACAGTAAAAAACTGTTATGTCTTGCCTACCTTCACATCTGTTCCATCAGTGACCACAAAGTCCTCATAAATGTAAGACCCTTCCTTGCGCACAGAACTCTCACCTGAGTACACACTGCTTCTATTTCCCACCTTTCGGAACAATCTTTGACTGCCACCTCCAGCTGATGAGGGGTAATATATGTACACATTGTGGTCTTCTGCATTTACTGGTTTTTCAACAAAGGGTTTTTGGAATACAACATCACCAATCTGTACAGAATCATCCGTCTCAACAAAATTAGTGTTTATGGGATCTCCATCATCATCTCGTAGCAAAATAGCATGTCTTGGTGTTTCAATCCCTGCACTCTCCAAAAGACTGTACATTGTTGGTCTGCAAAGGAAAATAGGCACAGTTTTTACCAAAACTCTTTCCTCTGACTTGTATCTAAAAAGCTGTGTTTTATATTAATAGCCTTACAAAATTGTGGTAATGTAATGACAAAAACAAGGACAAAGTTGAGTGTGATATAGAAATTGGTTTGAGCCTGGGAGGAATATTTGAACATCTAGTCTGATGGTCCAGATGAGAGTTGTCCTGAGAAAGAATGTTGTCGGTAGTGACAACTGACATTTTGACAACTGGGTGGAGGTCATCACCAGTGTTGTCACTCATCACCCCCACTCTGGTAACAAATTCTGCTTAGGTTGCCAAAATGTCAGTCACCATCACAGATACAGTGCCTCCCAGGACTACCCTCACCTGATTGATCACATGTACAACACACATACCTGTCCATCAGGGCATATTGCATTTCCAAATCATTTAGACTGAATGGTTTTCTCAGCTGGGCATACTCAATTGCTTTCTCAAGTGGAAAGCCTTTGGAGTAAAATGAAATCAAACAGTCACAAATGGGCCATTCCTCCACTGGAACATTCAGGATAGTGTCATCAGGAAACACAGATATGTCCACACAGTCAAATGCTGACATTCGATTTAAGATCTCTTGCATAGGTTGGGAGTTGGTCTAAAGGAAGTGGGTAAATGAATGATTAAATACAAATTTTAGGGCAAATTTTCAATCAAACGTTTCAGCTGCACCTCGCTTAAGGCATTGACACTGTCGAAAGCCCAAGGCACATCACTAAACAAATATTTATTTAAAAGAGATATATTATATATTTGCCGGTTATATATGTATATACCTTTTTGCTCATTGCACAGACCCCAATTCTAATCTTAGGAATTGCATCTTCTTCATCGTCTTCATCGTCATCTTCACCATCATATCTAATAAATGGTCTTGGATAGTCAGCCATTTCCTCTGTTCAAAAGGCTGTGTACGAAACTGCAGACGTCACACCACCGATAGTAGTAACTAACAAAATGTTAACATCTTGTCACCTTCCGCCAGACATCTTCTGACATTTCTGCAAGGGGAAGTTTGAACAACGTAAACGTTTAGACTTATGATTGAGAGTGGAGAAAGATTTTAAAACTGGCGAAAAAAGAAGATATCGACGAATTTCAACATGAGGATGAAAAATTTTTCTACATCCAGATGAGGACCGATTTAAAACTCGATGCTGCTGTTCACATTAACGGAGTGAACTACGATGAATGATGTCACCCTTCCTTCAGGAAAACAGCCTTAGAAAGTCGAATTCTAATAAAATCCGTTCGCTGCCATTAACTTCAAACTTACTTATTGTAACAAGTTACGAGAAAGTGTAGCAACTTAATTACGAGAAAGTGTAGCAACTTAATTACCAATACTTCGTCATTTTCAGGCGAAGCGACCGCATTCCTTGAAAAGTGCGGTCAGCAGTAAATGGGAAGAGATAAATATGTCATGTACGGTGACACTTATGTATTCAACCCGTCAGTGCTATAACCGAAGTTTGGACCACTACGTGGGCAGCTTTCGTGTAAACGTATACTGCTCCACAAGGATAAACGGAAACATTTCTTAAAAGGCTCTAAATATATCAAACACAATACATTTGTTACTCAAAATTATTCCTCTAGCCCTGTTAATTTTTTTCGGCCTTCAAAACTGACCATCACGGTAAGCTCAAACTTTCACTAGCGACTAAATACAGGAATGGCTCCGACCTGTAATTGGATGATAAAAATAGTAAAAGTTAATAAGTTGTATCTTAGCTCTTTGCTCGTGAGTATTCTGAACCACGTGTCTCGAAGCGGAACAATGAAATATCAATGCGAGTGAAAACACCGATGTTTCAAACAAGAAATGGTTACTTACGTAGCGAAGGGAAGGCAACCTTTCTTGTTCAGCGAGGTCGTTCAGCGATATTCCGGCGATGAAAAAGTCATCGGCTGACAAGCTTCGCTGACAAAACTCGTGTAGTCAGTTTATGGGCTCCTGGCGGAAGACCAGAGACTGGAACCATTCCTGTATTTCATCGCTGACAGGAATAGCTCCGCCTCAAACGTTTATCAGTTTTTTATCAATAATTTCTTAACAACTTTAAAAAAATTTTAAAAATTTAAAACTAAACTAGTGAGCAGCGCTGTGCGAACGGTAGTTGTAAAACTTCTTTATTCTCTGACGCGTTTCGTCCAGCTGTCGTAAATTTCTTCAGGGAGTTTTACAAGTTAACACTAAACGCCTATATTTATTATTGTTAGCGGCTATTGCAGGAGCCAATGACCATAAGGGCTTGGCTGGACCTACGAGCAGGAATAGGCAAAGTTGTGAAAATTTGAAAATTTATTTTGAAATTTTTTTAAGCAAGGTGAGAAATATTTTTTGGGAGCCACAGTTTTAACTGAAAATTTTCAAATTTGAAAAATTGAAGAGGTTTTTTTACAGATAATGCCTGGAAAGCATTTGGCAAATGAGGTTAGGATGGCTCGTGTACTTTACAGAAAATGTGGTTTATGTTCTACTCATTCTTTCTTAAATTTAAGTGGTATAAATACCTTGTTTAAAAGAGTAGTGTGATACAATAGCAAACGAGATATACTCGTTCCAATTCAGCGTCATGTGATGAACAGCCTTCATTAATTTTAGAACAAGTTTTATAAAACCATTTTACTCTTTCTTATTATAGCCGAAAACTGTTCGAAGATTGGTTGTGCCATCACCGCAAACAGTCAAGATACTTGACATGATTCAGTGCAAGAGTCACTACCACCGGTTTGACTGGTAAGACATTTTTTTGTTTGTTTGATTCGTTTTTTTCCTTTTTTAGGTCTAGTGGAGTTGTTAGAAATTACCAAGCAAAATTAATCCGCGACTTTCTTCCTTTAGGTGTTGTACAAAAACGGATGAAGAGCCCGATGAATGGATTTGTCCTTCATGTGAACAATCAGTTTTCCACGAAAAAACTCCCTGGATTGCGGCCGAGCCATATTTCTCCAACAGAACATTCTGTAAATTAAAACCTCGGTCGCAGCGTCACGCAACATTGCGTGATTTTGCAAACGTGACATGCAGTTTGGCCCTATAGTAGTAGAAGAGAGCTTCATTTGCAAGCACTGTAGACTTCAACATAAGAAGAACCTAATAAATCGCTCTTTCACTTTTTATCTCAGTGTATAAATTATTTAGCCAGAACGAAAAAAGATTAATATACGCATGAGTTGGAGCTATTCCTGTCCGCGGTGAATACTGGGAATGGCTCCAGTCTCTGGTCGTTCGCCTGAACAGACTAAATGAGTTTTGTCAGCAAAGCTTGATAGCGAATGACTTTTTCATCGCCGGAATATCGCTGAACGACTTTGCTGAAAAAGATAGACTCTGCCTTCTCTTCGTTATGGAAGTAGCCATTTCTTGTTTGACACATCGGTGTTTTCACATTGATATTTCATTGTTCCGCTTCGAGACACGCTGTTAACAATACTCACGAGCAAGGAGTTAAGATATAACTTGATACTTGGGAATACTGATTACACTGTCGAAAATTCCTGCGAATTTTTTCCTGCGAAAATAAAACTCTTAACGCTTGTGAAGAATTAGTATCTTTCGACGTTGTTTCGCTCTTCACCAAAATCCCAGTTGATCTTGCCGTTAAGGTTTCGGAGGAAAGACTCAGAGAAGATGCTTCCCTGGGACAAAGAACTTCTTTGCCTGTGGAGGATATTATTAATCTGCTGTCTTTTTGTCTCAAAACCACGCAATTTACATATAACGGCACCTACTATCAACAAGTTTTTGGTACAGCAATGGGTTCGCCCTGCTGCTGCTGTCATTGCTAACATGGTAATGGAAGACGTGGAACAAAGGGCCTTAGCCACTTTACCGGTTAAACCCTTTTTCTGGAAACGATACGTCGATGATGTTATTTCTGCGGTATCCGGAAATGAAGCGGAGCGCCTCTTGTCGCATTTGAATTCAGTAGAGCCGTCGATCCAATTCACCCTTGAGCGCGAAAAGGATAGACGTTTGCCCTCTCTTGATTTAAATGTGTCCAGAGGGGTTCAGGGTAATTTAGAGACAAGTGTCTACCGTAAACCTACCCACACCGACAAATACCTCGCTTTCGATTCTCACCACCCTATTTGCCATAAAAAGTCTGTAGCCAAAAATTTACTTAGGAGGGCTGACTGCCTACCATCTTCACTCGATTCGAAGGCTGAGGAGAGGAAATATGTTTCCAATGTCCTAAAGGCAAATGGCTATACAAAAACTTTTCTCCGTAACTGCCAAAAACCAGTTACAAATAGTAACGCTCTTGATGAAAGGGAACCAGCGACTGGTTTTGCTGTTATTCCTTACATACAGGGTGTTACGGAACCCATCAAGAGAATTTTGAATAGCCACAACGTTAAAGTTGCTCAAAAACCTTTTCAGACCTTGGGGCATATTTTCGCCAAACCTAAGGATCCTGTCACGAAAGAACAACGAACCGACGCCATTTATTCTATTCCTTGCAATGACTGTGACAACGAATACATCGGACAGACTAAACGTCCGTTTGGTACACGGTTAAAAGAGCACCAAAAAGCGGTTTTTCTTTGCAAAAAGGAAAATTCAGCTTTATCGGAGCATACATGCCTAACCAGCCATACAATTGGGTGGGATAATTCTAAAATTATCACCACTAATCGGCGTTACCACCAGCGCCTTTGTTTGAAGGCTTGGCATATTAACTCCGACCACGCCCCTTTAAATCGTGACGATGGCGGTTTGCTTCCTGACGCCTATTTACACCTCGTCAGAAAAAAGGCCGCTAATTAGTGATCATATAAAAGGACCTCTTGTTGCAGCGTTTAGATCACCCCTGATGAAGGCACTAGACAGGAGTGTCGAAACGTTGGGTCTATGAATTGTAACTTCTTCAGTTACATTCATTAAATCTGCAAACCAGAGTAGCATCAAACTATATCTGATTGTCCACCTGGTTGCCGTGTGAACTTTAATATATAAGATATAACTTATTAACTTTTACTATTTTTATCATCCAATCACAGGTCGGAGCCATTCCTGTATTTAGTCGCTAGTCAAACTTTCCGAGTCCGCCATCTTGTTAGGTGCGCAAGGCATATTGGGTTGTAATGGTTGCTGCGTTCTTTCGCATTTTGCTTCGTTCTTTCGTATTTGGGGTTTTCCTAGGGTTTTCCTCAGCAAAATGCCTCATTACATCATTGCGTAGCTCTCGAGGGAAGTAGTCAGGCCAAAACCAAGCAGGATCCCAAGCTTCCCAAAAGACAACAGTTTGCAGTTAACGACGTGCATGGATTCCATGCTATTGAAAGAACATCTCTTCTAAACGATTCGCGTCTGTGTTCGGAACATTACAAGGACCATTGCATCCATGAATCGTACCTACTGGAAGCACGGATAGTTTCGTTTATAGGAGAATGACTAGATATGTAATAACAGAGGCACCGCAACCAGTACACGTAATTAACCCAGAGTACCTTGCGCACCTAACAAGACGACGGAAGCGGGAAGTTCTAACTTGCCGTGGAGGCCGATTTTAAAGGCCGAAAAAAAATTAGCAAGGTTAGAGGAATAATTTTGAGAACCAAATATCTTGTGTTTGATACATTTGAGAGCCTTTTGAGAAATATTTGATTTAAGACTGGAGGTTCCCTTTAAAGGGTCTTTAGCTTCCTTCAAAGCCACCCGTTTCGGGCCACCCCTCCCCAGCCTCAACAGATAATGAAGGTATGCGAAGAGCAAAATACACCATATTTATATAAATTACCATCTTTTGTAACTAAGCGTTCCCCTCTGAATTAGAAGGTCGAAGAAATTTTTGTGCAAAATTTTGCGCCACATGAGAAATAAGTTGTACCGGCCCCTTGACACACAAAAAAATAGATTAAATCGCAGGCGAGAAACACACGACTACATTTAGTGACATAGGAACCAATGAAAAGAAAAAAGTTGTCATTTTTATATATTAATTTTTATCTTACAATTTTACAATTAATTACAATTTATTAAGTCTCTTGTATACATCTATGTAAGTTAAACAATTTTCACAACATGTAGAATAAATCACTATTTATATATCAAATCTTCACCCCTTAAAAAAAGAAGTTTCCAAGAAAAAAGAATTGCGAACGCGCAAGTGTGATCGGCAGTACCGTCATAGGCCATGAGTTACAGAATTTGAAGTAAAACCGAAAGTTGCGCAGCAAAGTTTTTTAAGTTCAAATGTGTCTTTTTCCTTTACTTTTGGTTATTCTTACTCGATTGTGGAAAGCTTTGGAAGGTAAAAATCAGGAAGGAGTTCTATGTAACATGTCTGCGCACGAGTCACAAACTGAGAAGAGCCTGTGGATAGGGAAAATTGACTAACCCCAACCAAACTAGTTGCTAAACTCTCTCTTCTTCGGCGAGCCGGGAAGAAGAGTGATCCTGGTAACGAGGTTTCACATACTTTGAGAATAAAGTGAGTTTCCAAACTTCGGTGGAGGCTATCACAAGATAGTTTGCTTTTATCAATGGAGTTGATGATAATAATTGACCACCAGAAAGACTACGTACGCTGCACACACAAATGGCTAATTTTCTCATGATTTGTTCTAATCCTTGTGGTAAATCCACTTGAAAAATATGTTATTTGCAAAACAAATTCATATTTTTAACATTGCATAAACGGTCACAGGAAAGACAGACAGCATAAATTTAATTTCCCTCTTTTCAATGGTGCTCCCGTCAACCGTGGTTGCAGATCTCTCTTAATGATAAATCAGTGCTATGAAGAATCCAAGTTTTCGTTTGCTCCTTTGGACAATTCTGAGAAGTTACTCTCCTTGGAGATAGTCCTTGAGCGTGAAGCAAGAGTAGGAAACACAAGTTTCTTCCCAATTAAGGTGTCAAAGAAACGGTCCATCTCTTTGAGTGGAACAGCACTGTGTAGTGTGCGAAGTGGGTTCAATGATTCCACTTTGGTCATTTCTTCATAACACAATGCAACTGAAAGATAATTCAGATTTAACATGTCAGCATGAAAAAAAACTGCAAAAAATATAAACAATACGTTGAATAGTGTCAGTATTCGATCCTTTGTACCTAACAAAAGATAGGGAGTGGTGGTAGGTCTGAGTGCTCTTTTTCTCATGATTACCCAAATATCACATAAAAATTTAATGGTTTGGTAATTTAAAGTTTTCGGTTTTAATGTTTGAGAAGCGCAATGACTAAACGGGTGACATCTATTTTCTGTGATGTACTACACACATCCTCGTTAGGAGAGCTAACTTCAACCTCAAAGCTCGCTCGTATGCGGACTGAGAAATCGTAGAGAGCTTCCCAAAGCACTTAGACCAAAGGAATAGGGTAACAAAGATTTGAGTAAAGTCTAGTGCAAATAAGACCTATAGGGGGCGAATTAAAAGAAAAAAAAAACACTTGATGATGCGTAAAAACTATTACAAAATGGAAACGAAAAAAGCACTTACTAGGTGGCTTGTGGCTCTTTGAAGTGCGGTTCGTACAGGGATGGGGCCTTACAACCAAAGCACTCTGTATAGCATAGGTGAGACTTTGTAATGCAAAAATAGCAGAACTTGCCGTTCCTGCAGAAATAATGTTAGTAATTTCACAAACATTAAAATATAAATCGAGGTTTGAAGGATTTGTTGTCTATTTTATTCTGTTTTCTTTGAAAAAGCTCTTAATTTCCGATGATTGACCCTTCAGATCCTAAGAATATCCAGAATGTAATTTCTACTCACAGTAAC